GGTGAACTGAGAGAGCAGTGACATGGGGTCGGTGTGCCCTGAGGAGGCACTGACCTGACCGGGGGGCTCAGTGAGCTCGGACAGCACTGAGATGGGGGTGCACTGACCTGGGATAGAACTGCCCGGGGGGTGCACTGAGCTGGGAGTGCACTGACCTCGGAGCGAACTGACCTGGCGGCGCACTGCCTGGGGGCGCAGTGACCTGGGGGCGCACTGACCTGGGGGCGCAGTGACCTGGGGGCGCACTGACCTGGGGGCGCAGTGACCTGGGGGTGCACTGACCTGGGGGCGCAGTGACCTGGGGGCGCACTGACCTGGGGGCGCAGTGACCTGGGGGCGCAGTGACCTGGGGGCGCACTGACCTGGGGGCGCAGTGACCTGGGGGTGCAGTGACCTGGGGGCGCACTGACCTGGGGTGCACTGACCTGGAGGCACACTGACCTGGGGGTGCACTGACCTGGGGGTGCACTGAGACACGCTCTGCCCCCACCCCGAGGGAGGGCAGGGGAAGGGGGAGGGGAGGGGAGAGAACACTTCCTCCAGCCGGCTGCTCTGGCTTTACTTCTCCTCCCTCCTGAAGCCGGCTCTGACATACTCCCCGCGTAGGGGGTCATTTCCTTGGGAATTCATAATCTGTGACACAGCACCAGGCAGTATTGCTCCTTGGCCTCACATTCTCTCATTTCAGGTCTGTAACAAAAAGAGATATAAAGGGTATAGTATAATGAACTTCTGTACACCAGCTCCAATAGTTGTCAACATTTTACTGCTCTTTTTTTTTTTGGTCTTTCCCAACTTTTCCCCCTTCCTAATGGAATACTTTTTTTAAAATTGATTTGAGAGAGAGAGGGAGAGAGAGAGAAACATCAATCGGTTGCCTTCCACATGCACCCAGAACCCCACAACCTGGGTGTGTGTATTGACTGGGAATCCATCCTTCTGGTGGACAGGACGATGCTCCAACCAGCTGAGCCACGCTGGCCAGGGCCCCAATGGAATACTTTCAGTTGAGATGTTATTGCGATCACTGCAGGTTACGTGCAGTTGTAAGAAACTTGTATATGTTGCCCATTCTCTGCCAATGGTAACATTTTGTGAAACTGTGGTTCAGTCAGGACATTGATAGTGATAAAAGCCACCTATTTCATCCACATTTCTCCATTCTACTTGTACCCCGTTGTGTGTACATGGAGTTCTGCCATATCTTATTGCCTGTGTATATTCGTGTGTCCACAGGCAGGACACTGGACAGCGTCCAGCTCCAAGGAAGTCCCTCCTGCTGCTCTTCTGTGAGCGCACAGCCTCCTCACCCGCCTCTCGGTGCCGTGGCCCTACGCTCTGGCTGTCCTCATCTGTCTTGTTTCTAATATTTTGTCATTTCAGACGTCATAGGCGCGGTTCCACACTAGTGCAGGCTGACCCTTTGGGGATTTGCCTTCTGCCCTGAGATCCACCCGGTTGCTGCTTGCACCGTGTTTGATGGCTGGGCAGTGTCCATGGTGTGGATGCATCACCGTTCGGCGGTGCACTCGTTGCAGGGCATTTGGGTTTCCAGCGTGGCGTGTTATGCAGAGAGATGCTGTGAGCGTGCGTAGCGGGCTTTTGTGTGAACATAAGCTTCTGTTTCTCTGGTGTAAGTCTTAAGTGTGCCAGTACCGGGCCACACGGGCCTGCGCGTTTAGTTTTGTGAGGAGTTGCCACACTGCTGCTCGCAGTGGCTGTACCGTCGTACGTTCCCACTGGCAATGAGATTATCCGCTGGCTGTTAGTGAGCCCGTCTGTCTTTCTGTTTTGAGTCAGTGTGGGCAGTTTTTTATTTTTCTACTCTGTTATCCTTTCAGTCAGATTTTCAAATTAAATTCCTACTTTTTCCCACTTGGATATGTTTCCTTTACTCTTTTTGCCTTTTGGCTATTTTAACTAAGACATTTTAAAAAATTATTTCTTTAAAAAACTGTCTTTTGGTATTACTTACCAATTTGTTGTTTTCTCTCTAGTCATTAATTTCTGCTTTTTCCTTATTTCTCCCCTTGAGCTTAGCTTAAATATTTTTATCCCTTTTTTAACTTCTTAAATTAATTTTTAATTTGATTTTGTAAAGTGAGATTATGAATTTTCTTCTGAGCATAATTTTGTCCACGTCCAAAAGCCTTTGATATTGGGACTTTCGTTGCAAACATTTTCTAGATAGTGTGTGTTGGCAGGTTTGTTTTATTTTGTTCTTTGGGGGGAAAATGCATTTACAAAATGCTTTGGGTTTGGGTCAGCCCTGTAGGTAGTGGGTCGGGGGTGAAGAGGAAGAGGGGTGGCCCTTGGGGACAGCGCGGTGGGGGCAGGGACTGGGGGGCGTTGTTTGGGGGGTGTCAGGCCCCAAGGGCTTTCACCACATGCATGTCCCGCTTGCACTTCTGTGCCTCCTGCTGAGCCTCGCAGATCTACCACCTTCCACTGCCTCCCCCCTCCCCCTGCCCCCTCCCTCCGGCCACTAGGATGGATGGGCCGCTTGTCACTCAGCCCTCAGCAGGGAGCTCTGCACACAGCTCAGGCTGTGGCGCTGCCTGCAGAGGTGGCACACTCGTGACCCAACCCGTTGGCAGTTTTAGTTTATTTATTTAGTGGGGAATTGTTTCGGTGAGAGTTATAAAGCTTATTGCATTATCTTGTGATCACTGAATTTAAACTGATTGATTTCAATTTGGGGAAAATATTGAGATTTCCTTTGAGTCCTAATACATGTTAAATTGTAATGCCCCATGACTTGATAAGAGGGCATGGTCCCTGTAGGGTGTGAAGTTCAACACGTCAATCATAGGAGGTGGGACTTGGAGGGAGGGCTGCTGACCAGGCAGGATGGTTAGGGAAGGCCTCTTGGCCTTGAATGACCTGAATGGAGTGAGGGAACAATTGGAACAAAAGCTTTCATAAATTACCTATTTAATTGGAAGAGTGTTTTATTTAATTAAAAGATGTAATCTCAGGTCTAGGTCTGTATTTAACCTGTTCGGTATTTTTACTTCAAGAAAACTAAGTCACACCCTGGCTGGGTAGCTAAGTGGGTTGGAATGTCAACCCGATGCCCAAGGTTGCAGGTTCAATCCCCTGGTCAGGGCACATACAGGAATCGACCAATAAACACATGGATGGGCGGGACAACGATCGATCTCTCTCTCTCTCTTTCTTTCTAAAATCAATCAATAACTTTTTTAAAAGAATATGAATTTCAGAATACACCCTTTTGCCTAGGTATGTTGGATAAAACAGTACAATCTGATCACACTTGGCCACAGGCAATCATAAACACAAATACCAATATTGAAATAGAAGATTGCTATTGTAATACAGAATTGAAATTCTCATAGGTTACTCTTGAGTCCCTGAGACTAGGGCCGCTTCCCCAGAAGTCCTGTTTGAGAACTGCTCCCCTTATCCATGATTTGTGAGACTCCCCCATTTCCTTCCCCAGGGAAGGGTGGAGGGAGCAGCAGTAGCGGTTCTTCTGCTGTGTTCCTGTTCGATGGAAGCTTTGTTCTCAGTGATCTCAGGGTGGGCATGTGGTCTTTCTCTTGGCTGCTTGTGACCTCAACCCCTGTCCCTCCAAATGGTGACATACATGGATGTATCTACTCAGCGCTCTGTACGATGTCGGCTACCACCATGCTGGCACTGCCTGCCCTCTGTGAGGAATGCACATGGATTCCCAGCATCTTTCATTTTGGTTCATGTTCTGTGTTCAGATAGCAGCTCTTCAGGTGTGTTGTATGAGATTAAGCTGCTCATAGTTTCAGCGTTTGTGCTATAGTCTCCCAATTTCTAGCTGTGTGTCTGCTTTGCTTTGAGTTTGAGTAATGGTCTTCAGTAAGCCAGGATCTACGCAGCTGTTTTCTTAGAAGTCTGTTTTCTCAATTTTACTGAATGTTTAAGGAAGAGCATTTTCCTCTAAGGCATGTGTTAGAATAACTTGATATAATGTAAAACTGACAACTAACTATATTTTTTAACGGTTTGACAGGTTGGAATTCGTGGTACCAATATCGTTGTACTTGGGGTAGAGAAGAAATCAGTCGCCAAGCTTCAGGATGAGCGGACTGTGAGGAAGATCTGTGCCCTGGATGACCACGTCTGCATGGCCTTTGCAGGTACCTGTGGGCCTGAGGAATGACACCGAGCATGTTGTGTAGTCGGTCACACATGTGGGCCCACCACCGCTGTTGTGGTGCTGTATTTGCACAACACAGGGAGCTCGCCCCATTTCTTACTCAACACAAACAGTGTAGCCTGTCTTTTCTGGGAAAATCACAGCTCTGTAACCAGGATTTCTGATAGTTGAACATAAATGTCAGCAGGTATACATTATATGATCTTAATTGTAATTGTAGGTCGCTGTTTTCTTTTTAATTTTTTTATTTTGAAATAACTTTAGATCAGGAAATTATAAAAAAAAACAATAAAGTAGTCCCCTGTCTCCTTAACCAGTTTACCCCAAGGGTAACATCTTCAGACCAGTAAGTGGACATTGTTACAAGCCACAGATTGTTTTCAGATTTCACCAGGTTTACCTGCGCTCATTTGCATGTGTGTGTAGTGTTATTAGGCTTCCCAGAGTATAGATTCATGTAGCCATCACCACACCCAAGATACACAGCTCTTACATTACCACAGGCTACCCATGCTACCCCTCCTCCGCATCACTGACCTCTGGCGGTCAGTAAGCTGTTCTCTTCTCCAGCTCTATAACTCTGTCATTGTTGAGAATGCTGGATGAATAGAATCATATGGCATAAAACCTTTTAATACAGGCTTGTTTTCATTCAGCATAAACTACAACATTATTAGTAGTAGTAATAGTATTTAGTGGCAGTTAAAAAAGGAGGTGGTAGGATCTGTATGTATTGACATGAGAAATATCCCTCACATATATTAAAAATAATAAGTTACAAAAGAATATGTATGATACAGTTCTGTTTCTAAACTATAGAATTATATGGTACCTCTTATTCCCTCTGGTCCAAGCACATATCAGAAAGAAATACGGTTCTATTTTGAAAAAAATCACATTCTTTTGTTGATGTTATTATATTTTTAATGTTTGAAAAACAGTCCTTAGGGAAAAAAATCAAAGCATTTGAAAAAAAAATGATTTTCATGTACCATGTGGAATTCCATTTAATAGAAATTTTACAATATGATAGCTTCAAGGTAAGTTTGTGGCACAAATTTAAAAGCACTGGACTAAGGGCTCATTTATTCTATAATTGCTTATTTATAAACAGTGAAATTGCAATACTATATTTTTTTAATATATTTTTATTGATTTCAGAGAGGAAGAGAGAGGGAAAGAGAGAGAGAAACATCAGTGATGAGAGAGAATCATTGATCGGCTGCCTCTTGCACGCCCACTACTGGGGATCAAGCCTGCAACCCAGCCATGTGCCCTTGATCAGAATCGAACCTGGGACCCTTCAGTCCGCAGGCTGATGCTCTATCCACTGAGCCAAACCAGCTAGGGCTCAATACTATCTTTAAATAGAATTTGTTTTTTTTTCCTCTAGCCATTTAGTATTTATTAGTATAATTGTTGCTTATTATGTTAAAAACAGACACACACACACACACAACTATGATAACTCATATGGTTTGGCAAATTTGTCACTGACTCAGTTTAGTACACCTTCCTAAGTGTGCCACTTTTATGTTTCTCTGCTTTTGGGTCATATATGTTGTAAATGGAAAATACTTAGAAATCTCCTTTCTGATCACATTTTCTAAACGAGTGAAGCTTTTAATTCATCGGATAAGCTAGATCAGTCTTTTTCCATTTATTTTTTTTGTTTTAATCCTCACCTGAGGATATTTTTTCCATTGATTTCCAGAGAAAGTGGGTGGGGAGAGAGAGACAGAAACTTCCACATTCGAGAGACACATGGATTGGTTGCCTCCTGCAGGTGCCCCAACCAGGGCTAGGGAACCTGTGACTGAGGTGCATGCCCTTGACCAGGAATCAAACTGGAGACCTTCGGTCCACAGGCCAGCACTCCATCCACTGAACCACACCACCCAGGGCTCTTTCCATCTCTTTCCCTCAGATGACATCTGCATGGAGAAGAGAATCAGTTTCTCTTCCCTTAACTCTGCTTGTGATTCGCACCCGGCCCACGAGTGTGAGGGTGATCCCTAGCAGTGGCGTGTTCTGACAGCGTCTTAGTGTTGACTAGTATCAACCATCTTCAGGGACAGCGCTTCTTCTGGCTCCTATACACCTGATTGGAGATGATGTGGAAGGGGCACAAGAGTCTGTGACTACAAAATACGGATGGTTAGATGGGCACGGGATGTTTCACAGACTGTGAGTGACTGTGGGCAATGTGGTTTTCAGAGAGTGGGGAAGGAAACACTGGCCATGGAAGGTCAAATGCCAAAGACGTCTTTAATATAATAGAAATGCTTCCATGCATTCATCTTTTGGGACACTTACTTTATTTCCTTATAGAGGTGTTAGGAATTAATGACATGATGTTTGGTATGATAAAAGTAAGGCATGTTTTCTTTTTCTGGTTTCACATTTTTTATTTTCCAATCCTTAATCTTAGACAAAATGCTGAGACATATTTCAAAGTTATATTGAATGAAGTTTGAATTCAGTGGATATGTGTTTGATAATGAAATATAATGTTCATTGTTTTCATAAGAAATCCAGCTTACTTCATGGTTAGGAAATAAGTATATTAGTTTTGGAATCAGGATAGACCATCAACCTTTGAACAGTCTGCCATTGATATCTCCCCCTGAAAAAGTTTTTAAAAATATGACTACAGAGATTTTAAAAAATTATTTTTAATAAACCCTAACAACCAGCCCATCTATGAATGAAACTATTTTAATCTTTTGGAAATAGTTTACTTAACATTAATGTTTAACCAGTATTCTTTAACATCATTTTCTTTAAAAAGTAAGTAAGAATGCATCAAGTTAAGCCCTGAAGAAAATAAGTCAGAATGTCAGGTAAGGGATTTGCAAGGAATTTTACAAAGTCTTTATAATGGACATATATTGAGAAAAACAAAGGACATTATAAGAAAGATTTTGTGTTAGCTAAAACCCTTTTGACATTGAAAAAGTCCTCCTTTCTTGTAATGGTTCAACTACATTTACAGGACTGACTGCTGATGCTCGAGTGGTAATAACCAGAGCCCGTGTGGAGTGCCAGAGCCATAAGCTTACCGTTGAGGACCCAGTCACTGTCGAGTATATAACTCGCTTCATAGCATCCTTAAAACAGGTAAGCCAAGAGAGCAACCAACTGCTCCAAGCTTCTCCTTTACCATTATGGGTCCGGTCATGCAAATACTTCAGTCATTTAGTCTATGAAATCTAAGTTCTCTATTCTTTCTCACACGTCATACTCACACTGTTACTGCAGTGGAACGGTTTGATTTGATCACTAGGAATCTCAATCGGTATCAGTTGTGGAGATTATATTAAAACTAGAGGCTTGGTGCACGAAATTCACGCACTCGGGAGGGGGCGGTCCCTCAGCCGGGCCCGTGCCCTCTCGCAGTCCGGGAGCCCTCAGGGGATGTCCAACTGCCAGCTTAGGCCCACTCCCCATGAGCCTGGCTTCTGGCTGAGCGGCGCTCTCCCTGTGGGAGCACCCTGACCACCAGGGGCAGCTCCTGTGTTGAGCATCTGCCCCCTGGTGGTCAGTGCGCATTATAGCGACCGGTCATTCTGCTGTTCAGTCAATTTGCATATTAGCCTTTTATTATATAGGATTAAAAAGAGCAAGCAATCTAATCTTTTAAGAGCATTTCTTCACTTCTGAAGATAAAGAGAACCAATTTTTAGAGTTTACCAAAGCAATACCCATGATTCTTTCACCTACAAACCTACACACAACTGATAGTGTTCAGGTATAACTTCTGAATCCGTAGTAGGTATATTAATATTAAGTCTAATCATGATGTGGACAAATATGCTTTTCACTTATTATTTTATGTGCTTTTATATATGTCAACAAAGTCCTTATATAACGCTATACAGGCAGAACTCCTTTTTTTTTTTTAAACCCTAGATCACCTTCTTGGATTCTTTTTATTTTTTTTATTTTTTATTTTTTATTTATTTATTTATTTATTTTTTAAACATTTCGTTTTTTTTTAATATATTTTATTGATTTTTCACAGAGAGGAAGTGAGAGAGACAGAGAGTTAGAAGCATCGATGAGAGAGAAACATCGATCAGCTGCCTCCTGCACACCCCCCACTGGGGATGTGCCCGCAACCCAGGTACATGCCCTTGACCGGAATCGAACCCGGGACCTTTCAGTCCCCAGGCCGACGCTCTATCCACTGAGCCAAACCGGCCTCGGCTCTTTTTATTTTTTTATTTAATACATTTATTTATTGATTTCAGAGAGAAAGGAGGAGGGGAGAGAGGGAGATAGAAACATCAATGATGAGAGAGAATCATTGATTGACTGCCTTCTGCACTCCCCCTACTGGGGATCGAGCCCGCAACCCAGGCATGTGCCCTTGGCCGGAATCGAACCTGGGACTCTTCAGTCCGCAGGCTGACGCTCTATCCACTGAGCCAAGCCAGCTAAAGCCAGGCAGAACTCCTTTTATTGTTCCTCACTTTATTGCACTTTACAGATTTGCATTTATTATAAATTGAAAGTAGGACCCTCCACCAACAAAAAATTAAGACTTGCTTTATTGTGATGCTCTCTTTCTTATGGTGGTCTGGATGCTCAGAGGTCTGCCTGTAATACTGATTTTAGTTGCTATCCATAATAACTTAGGATGTTTCTAGTTTATTTCATTTTCTCATTCCTTCTCTCACTTGCTGGCTCTCAAATTGCTACTTTAATAACATCTTTGAAACAGATTTTGTTCTTTTTAAATTATATTGGGTTATTTTTTAAGATTAGAATTGGTCTTTTTGAAAATTTATTTTTATTGATTTCAGAGAGGAAGGGAGAGGGAGAGAGAGATAGAAACATCAATGATGAGAGAGAATCACTGATCGGCTGCTTCCTGCACGCCCCACACTGGGGATGGAGCCCGCAACCCGGGCATGTGCCCTGACCGGGAATCAAACTGTGACCTCCTGGTTCATAGGTCAATGCTCAGCCACTGAGCCACGTGCATAATAGGATGTAAACATTTAAAAATAGATACCGTGCTAGACGAGTCCAGAAGAAAGCTGGTGTCAAGCTGTTCAAGCCGCCGAGGTGCACGCGTTGCTGAGCTGCCTGCCGGGTGGTCTCGGCTCCCGGTCAGGACCCCTCTGCACTTCTTGTAGGGGCACCAGGCACAGTGAGTGTGGGTCCCACTCCCGGACGGAGCTCAGATCCTGGCACTCGAGTGAAACACAGTTGGTTCCCAGTGCCCTGCTGCCTGTGAGGAGAAAGCACGCTTTTTCTTTAGAGAAACAAAGAGTCCCTTGTTCTGGAGCTGACAGAAGGTCTCGGTTGGGTTTTATGTAGAGTAACTCAGTGTACGGTGGACAGAATATGCTGGACAATGACGGTACCAAGAAAAGACATTTGATAACAGTAGTGTCATGTAAGAACGCTGGTGATAATAACAATTGTCAGGCCTCTCACAGGAAGCGGGGGGGCGATCTAAGGCACAGCTAACTAAAACCAGCTTTCCGGGCGCCCCCCCCCCCCGGGGTGAGGCACTCACTTCTCTGCTGTCACAAAGGCTCAATCTTGTTATGTTACCCAACTGGGCACAAATCAATGGGAGAACAGCAGGAAGGCCATGTAGAAGTAAACAGGATATCGTTCTATAGACTGTACATTTTTAAAAATTTCATTATGGATTTGAAGTCAGTTCAGAAAGTGAGGGAAGAGAATCGGGAAGATATACAGAATAAAGAAGGTGTTATTTGATAAGTAATAGAATGGCCTTTGTATGGCCTATACCAGTGATGGCGAACCTATGACACGCGTGTCAGAGGTGACACGCGAACTCATTTTTTTGGTTGATTTTTCTTTGTTAAATGGCATTTAAATATATAAAATAAATATCAAAAGTATAAGTCTTTGTTTTACTATGGTTGCAAATATCAAAAAATTTCTATATGTGACACGGCACCAGAGTTAAGTTAGGGTTTTTCAAAATGCTAACACGCCGAGCTCAAAAGGTTCGCCAACACTGGCCTATACACAAGGTAATTACCGAAACATTTTATTTTTCAGAAATACACTCAGAGCAATGGACGAAGACCTTTTGGCATTTCTGCCCTAATTGTAGGCTTCGATGATGATGGTATCCCAAGACTGTACCAGACCGATCCCTCTGGTACTTACCATGCTTGGAAGGTGAGTCATGAATTTTTAATATATTAAAAGAAGTTGAATAGATGTATTCACCATAAATGCTTTATCACTTTACCGGGCATGATGAAAATTATGTTACATGAAAATATTGATGGTGGTAGGAACTTTATGTAACCATTTAGCCAGTTGGCAATTATGATGGTTTCTGGTGGATAGAGAAACACTTTGGCTTATTAATCACAGGGTTTTTCCTTTACATTTGGAAAGATGTGACAACCCTAAGTGCATACGAATGGCCAGGTGAGAAATACCCAGTCCCTGCTCATCGCCACCCTTCCACTGACTGCCACGTCACGTGGCTGCTGCTCCGAGGAGAGGCACGTGTCTTCCTGCTTTTAATAAAGATGAGAGAGCCTGTCAGCTCCAAACTGAACCCTTCAGTGCACCCTCTGTTCTAGGAGTCGGAGCGCCCAAACCATGACTTTATCCCCATGTGTCAGCACATCGCAGTGACGGCCTCACCACCCCTGGGATGCAGCTTTTATTTGTCGGCTGGTTTTTGAGTCGCTATGCGTGTTTCAGCACCAGCCACCTGCTGTGTCTAATGGCGCACTTCAGTCTCATGGTGCCCATAGACACCAGTGGCGGTGTTCCGAGATGAATTTTTGTATATTCTGATACATAAGAATAAGACCATGCCCCAGAATCTAGGATAAGTGATTTTGACTAGTAAACGTTTAAATACGGCCCGGCCGGCGTGGCTCAGGGGTTGTGCATCGACCTACGAACCAGGAGCTCATGGTTCGATTCCTGGTCAGGGCACACGCCCAGGTTGCGGGCTCCATCCCCAGTGTGGGGGATGCAGGAGGCAACCAATCAATGACTCTCTCTCATCATTGGTGTTTCTATCTGTCTCTCCTCTCCTTTCCTCTCTGAAATCAATAAAAAATATATTCTTAAAAGGTTTAAATACTTAGGTTTTAAAATAATGTTATGAAGAGTTTATGTTACTATATTAACATCCAGATAAATTAATCGGGAAATCTGGCCTTGATTTTTAAGCCTGTATTAACTAACGTATTTGATTTGAGCTGACCATACTCATACTACTTTACAAACCAGTTAACCAATCCAGTAAAACAGAGGCTGGTATTCTTACCACAGAGATCTGGATGCTGTGTTAGCTGCACACCCTTTAAGCCACCTGCACATCCCATGGGCTATCAGAGGCTGTGAGTGTACCTGCTGCAAATACCAGGCTTGTTCCTGCCACTTAGAAACCTTGTACATGTGCCTCCAGATCTCTGCCTACACAAAACGAATGGTTACCCTGAATCTCTGTCTTCTGCTTGCATTGATCATTACGTCATGACTCTTCATTTCAGTTTCATAACAATTTCCACGTTGATGTAATTTTCCATTTTATTGTGGTTGCTCCCTGAGGTCACACATAGAAGCATTTTTTATTTCAAAGTCCATGGACATGGGCAGTAGGGTAGTGAAAACCTGGAGGTGGGAGTAGGAATTGGGAGGAGGGGGACAGGGGGAGGGAATGGGAAATATCTGTAATGTTATCAACAATAAAAACAAAAAAATAAAAGATCTGAAAAAAATGTTCATTGAAAGACAAAAAAAAAAAAAAAAAAGCCAGGAGACTTTCCTAGCTCAAAGGAGACTAAACAGACAAACACCCAAGGTCTTTGATTAGACCCTCGATGGGGAACAGTCACAACCAGAGATATTAAATGTACTCGGCGATGGTATGTGTCAGCCTCAAGCTTTGGGGAGTGGACTTACCGTGTTATATTTTAAAAATCCCTGTTTTAAGGGAATTGACAGAAGTATTTAGGGCCAAATGTTATGACATCTTCAACATTAAAAAAGCATGCAATGTGTGTGTAAGTAAATGGAGAGATAATACAAATATCTCAAAATGTTAATAACATGAATCTAGGTTAAAAGGTGCATAGTAGTTCATTGTTCTCTCAGCTTTTCATAGGCTTGAATGGCAAGTTAGAAAATTGAGGAAAGAGAATAGTAAGAAGGAGGAAGTGACGATGGCTCTTTAAGAAGTTTAGCTGTAAAGGGGAGCAGGGAGATGGGACAGCAGCTACTGGGGAATGTGGGTTCAGGGAAGGTGTTTTTCCAGACTTGACACTATACAGGATCCGTTTAGTCAGCAACAGTATTCAGCTCGGAACATGCTGGACACTGAGCAAGCCGACAGTCTGCTCTCAGAGAACGGACATGCCGGAGGCGGCAGGGAGACGAGGAAATGGACAGCATGTTGGCCTGTGGTGGTACCACGTGCCACCCGGGTGGGGGTCCCCGGGTGGGGGTCAGGAGCGCAGCATGGGCATCACCGGTGCAGCTGGAAATGCAGGGCAGCAGCTCGCAGACCTCTAGTCGGGAGCGCTGTCTGCCTTCCCGAGACCCCATGGAATCCTGACCCGTGAGGACCTCAGAAGTCCCGCCTGCTCTGGAGAAGCAGAGTCAGATGGGGGCTGAGGAGGGGGAGGGGGGTGCGGTCTGAAGAGGGGGTCTGGGAAGCAGGATGTGAGCAGAGCCGGAGAGAGGTGAGGGAGCACAGTGTGGCCAGGGCTGGGGTCCCAGACGGGACAGACGCCAGTGCAGATGCTCTGAAGAGCGGCTTCCTGGTGTGTGTGGAATGGGGGGGGGGGGCGGGAGGAGAAGTCGGGGCAGAGGCAGGACATGAGATGGCAGAGGCGTCTACGCAGCAGGGAGTGGGAATCGCAGAGGGCCCTCCTCACACTTCTTCGCAAAATTGTGCATTTTACTCTGAACAGGACCGGAAGCCAGTTTTAGCAAAAACAGACCCATTAAAGTGACTCTTTTTAAAGGACCCTTCTGGCTACTATGAAAACCATCTATGAAAAAACCGTATGGAGAGAGCAAGGATGGGTGCAGGTGATAATAAGAATAGGTGGCTGAGCGTTGCCCACGCACCAAGAGGCCGTGGGTTCGATTCCAGCCCAGGCACATGCCTGGGTTTCAGGCTCGATCCCCAGTAGGGGCGTGCAGAAGGCAGCTGATCAAGGATTCTCTGTCCATTGATGTTTCTCTCTCTCCCTTTCCCCTCTTCTCTCTCTAAAATAATCGATTAAAAAATACATTTTAAAAAATAGGTGATTTGAGTTTGGTGAAAAGTGGTTAGATGTTGGTTTTATTTTGCAAGATGAGGAATGGTGTGAGGCTTTGCTTAACGGATATAAGGTGTGAACGAGAAGGAAGAGTAGCTGAAAGGTTTTGGAATATGTGTACATTTATGAAAATGACAGTGAAGAGGGGGATTCTGAGGATGTAGAGGAAAGTGGAAGACATAGAAGGAGAGACTCCAAATAGGTACAGTGGCATGGAACTCAGGGTGAAAGTGGGCGGGTAGGAGCATGGACAGTTTTAAGTGAAAGAAATGATTGTGTTTAGTGGAACATTTCAGACATATACCTAAGAATACAAAAATGCTATCAGTGCATGCGTGTACTCACCAAGTTCAAACAGGTGCTGACATGTGACCAAGTGAAACGTGGGACCGATGAAGGTGATGGCACAGCACTCGGGCGCCACCGGCCAGCTCCACGCAGCCGGAGCGTCCTGTGCGGCCTCCACCTCGTCCCCTCCTCCCGCCGCCGCTCTCTCCGGCTCCAGGAGACCGCTTCCTGCAGTTGGATGTTTGTCTTTTCTGTGCAGAACTTGACACGGTGGCTGCACATGGAAGCGCCCAGAACAGTCGGGGCTGTTTTGCATTTTACCCCGATACGATGTTAGGCATGATTGCTCACTAGTGAGCCGACGGTGACAAATAGGGGTGTGTGTGGCCTTCAGGGACACTTGGTTGTCACTGCTGCATCAGCAGACAGAGCTGCTCAACAGCCTGCAGTCACAGGACAGCCCCTCTTTCCCAGCAAAGAATTCTCTGTTCCCAATGTCAGTGGTGTTGAGGTGAAGAAAACTCACGTTAACCTTCCCAGCCCTTCATTTCTCCCCCGTGAACTGGGTTAGTAATGTTACCAGTGTAATTGTTTGGGGGGTGGTTGGGTTGGATGAGTTAATTCATGTGAAATGAACAGCGTAGTGCCTGGCACATACGTGCTCTGTTCATGTAAGTTACTGTCATCTCCATCATCACCGTCCTAGTACTCGTCTGGAATTGAGAGTGAGTGACAGGAACCTGCATAAACTACCTGTGGCCAAACAGCGAGGGAAGTGTGCTTGCCTTTTCCTTCATTTGATGAAAAATGCTGAAGAAATAGAAAACTGGGGACTGGAACAGAAGAAGCCCTTCTTGCTTATAAAGTCAAAGAAGATAATGAATGTAATAATTAATGTATATCAGTCTAAATTCTCAGAACATGACGCGCAGTGCCATTCATGTAAACAGCTTTCTTCACGTTGATGTTCTTTTTTCCCTTGTTTTTCTTCCTTTTGCACCAAAGTCTCACCTTCTCTCCTCCCCACACCTCACGGAGTTTCAGCTCTTTCCATCTATCCTGCTGTCAAGAACTTGGGAATATTAGAGCGACAGACGCATTGGCCAGTAGAAAGCATGGGTGTGTCTGAAAGTTACTCCTGCTGGCGCTACAGATTACTCATGGGAGTGACCAGTGAGCTGTTGAAATGTTTGCTACGTTTCAAACCTACAATTTTCATTTAGCAATTACGCTAAGAAATACTGGAGTAAACTGTAAATCTTTAAACTTCACTTAGTAACCATAAATTCCTTCATATTGCAGTATTACTAAGCGTTATCTTCTATTTTTCAAGGCAAATGCAATAGGCCGAAGTGCTAAAACTGTCCGAGAATTTCTAGAAAAGAATTACACAGAAGACGCCATAGCTAATGACAGTGAAGCTATCAAACTAGCAATAAGAGCTTTGCTAGAAGTAAGTGATCTAATCCTATATAATAAAAGTGTAGTATGCAAATTGTCCCCTCCACCAGGAGTTCATCTGGGAGTTCGACCAGGGGGCGGGGCCAGCCAGGGGAAGGAGGGAGGTCCCGGCCAGCAGCAGCAGCCGGTGGCCAGGGGAAGAAAGGAGAGGGAGGTCCTGGCCAGCAGTGCTGGGAACCCTACCAGTGCACGAATTTTGTGCACTGGGTCTCTAGTAAAGGATATTCAGGAAAGCAGAGGTTTTTGTCCTTTA